AGATGCAAACTTCATGTCATTATCGTAGGAAGGTAGGCTCAAGTTTGCGCCTAGCTTTGGTCGTTTATCCAATGTCTATCTCCTTGATGCCAAAAATGAGCTGGACTTTTTAATACCTAGTTTCTTCTAGGGCTTTGAGAGTTAAGAAGAGTTGGAATTTTTTTAACCATGCTCTTGTGGTTAAACAACATTGAAGCAGTTATTTAAAAATCAGATCGGTCCGATCGTCAATCGGTTTAAATTCTAGTTCAATCAAGTAAAAATCGTTTTGAAAGTTGAGCCGTTTTAGACTAGCGATTGGATCGGGAACTGGATCCAGTTTTCAAGAATCAGACTATTCAAAAAACACTTTTTTATTTTTTATTGATTTTTTTTAAAAAAATGATTAATTTTTTTAATCATTTGATGTTATATTATATCATGTGGCTTATTGAGTCATGAAAAATTTAAAATATTTGATTTTTAAGTTAAGTAACAATTTCATATTTATTTCTTATATTTAGATTATTATATACATATATAATTTTTTTAATTTAATTATTACGTCACCGATTTGACCATTGGTCTAACCTGATTGAGTTATGTGAATCATGAATAGCTGAACTTTTTGATTCAGTGTCCGGTCCGATTCTAAAAAAATTAGGTTGAAGGCTTTTTTTTCTTTTTTTTTTATTGTGTTTCCGTTTTTTAAAAGCCACTCTATGAATTATTTTTAAAAACAAAAACAAAACCTATTTGGTGGGAGCAGCTAGCATGAACCCCTACTTCAAAGTTAATTTAATTACCAAAATGCTACAAATGAAAACATTGGAGCTGGCAGCTGGCTGATGTCCGCCTCATATGGTTTTAAAACGAAGGAGGGAACAAAAAGCATCTTTAGGCTGATCCCATTTTATTGCATTTTCTTTTTTTGAAAAAAATTGGGAACATGTTTTCAAAACAAGTTCACAAAAAACAATTAGTCAAACAACTTTTTTTATTTTTAGAAATATAAAAATAAAGATAGTTCTTTTAAAAATAAAAATCAAACATGTCCTAATTGGTCAATATTTTTAAATTTTTAATTTTTTTATTAATACAAGTGTCCTCATATTGAAAACAAATTATATTTGAGAGATAGTTGGGTACTAAACACAGCCACCTCCTCCATCACATGTATGAAAGACTTTTTTTTTTTTTTGATTGGTCAACTCATGTGTGAAAGATTATTTGGTTTGAAACAAGGAAAAACGATAGTAAAATCTCCAAAAAATCAAATTCATGACAGTTGAGTTCTCAATAAACCTTTTTCAAAAAGTGTAAACACCAATTCAAAAAATTGCAAACATAAAAAAAATGCCTTTCTAATATTAAGTGAAGAAATTTTTGGGGTTTTTCAAGGTAGTATTGTCATGTATCTATTTATAGAAATAATTAACGCCTTCTTTCATTTTCCAGACAAGAAAATTGGGCAATCTCTGGATCTATCATGGGCTTCTTTAAGATAAAAATATCTTTAGGCCCAATTAATCCTTTCAAAGTCGCTTATTTTGAAGAAGCCCACTTCACCAGGCCTATTAATCCCCAATCCCAACCCAATCAAACCATAAAATATGAAACTTGTGGCAAGTAGTCGTACAATTTATAAATTACAAAATAATGTGACTCATTTCATACTCTATAAGATCTCCCTTGGTTGATTACTCATTGGTAAGATTTTTATATGGACAATTGAATTCAAAATCATATTCTTATTGCAATTTTAATAACTAAATCGATTTTTATTTGCAATTTTGACTTTATTTCCCATTATTTATGGCCATTGTTACTTCCTCTTGTTGACTTAGTTTATTCTCTCTCTTTTTTTGGGATAAAATGTCCACTTAGTTTATTCTGCCTTACTTTTTTTTTTTTTTGTTACTTGTCAAACTATCGTTGATTAAAACCATTATAATAACAAAAAAAATATTACCATAAAAAAATCCATTATTTCTTCTTCTTGAGTCTTCATGACTTAGCTTCTTCTTCTTCTTTAATTATCTTGTGCGTTGCCATAACATGATCAATTAGTTTATCAATTTCGGATATTGTTGGATCTTCTAAATGAATTAAAATTTAAAATTAATATATTGACTTGAAATAAAAAATCGTGCGTGTGTAAATTATGTCCACCTAACTCTTTATACCTCAATGAAGATTAGTCTCTATGATTAGCAAATAATCATATTAGTCTCACCATTTTTTTCAAAAAAGTCACCCTATGTTTAAAATATTAAAAATACATTTTCTGACAAAATTTACTTGTGTGATATTTAGTTATGAATTAAAAAAGAATTTTACTTAAAATAAAATAAAATTTTAAAATATAAATAAAAAAATTAAAATTTTAAAATCAAGAGCATTGAGATCAACTTTAAACAACTTAAACATGACAAATTAATTTACAACTCCAGACATGTAGTTTCAAATTTTTTTTTTTTAAGAACTATACACACAACTTATAAGATCTACACGGCATATCTAAAATCCACAACTTGAATACTTAATTCTTCTTTATTTATTGATCTATATTTTATCTTCTAAAATTAACTCTCACTTCCCAAGAAATCATCCAAAGTGATCAAGTGAGATCCAAGTCCTTCATGATGTGGTCTATCTGGACATGGCTTCAAAATGGACAACACCAAGTATCATTGGATCCAAAGCCGAATTTCTAAACATTTTAATTTCTATGTGTAATTTTATTTTATTTTATTTCAATTGAAGTGTAATAATTTTTTAATCAAGCATTAATTAATCATTCGAGGATTTAGTAAAACAAGTATGGCTTAAATTGGTTAAGGGATAACAAAATTAATACTTTATTTATTGTCCCTTTACCATATGATATCTTATGGAGTGCAATGAGTGAAATAGGAAACTCGGGATCTAAGAAAATTTCTCGGCAAGGACTGTTTGTTGGAATTTATGAAAAGATAGGTACAAAAACTTGTATTTCAAAGATCTTTTAGTACCCAATATTATTTTAATTGCACTCAAAATACAATTAATGATCTAATCTAGGGGGCAACTGCACCCCTCAATTGGATTTAATTCAATGTGAGTAACTAAAAAGAGTTGAAGATTTAAAGTCCTGTCACATAGGGTAGACAAACATGGAAGAGTAAAATCATGAACTCCTTGTTTGACAAAAATGCCACTTGCAACTACATCCATTCTATTAATTTTATAAAATACTCTTTATTTTACATCAAAAAAATGAAAATACTTCATTTTACAAGTAGATTGTGCAAGATTTAAGTTTGTACATCTCCTATGTTCTTGATATTTTGCGCCTTTTGTACTTTTTTTTTAAGCCACCTACTCTTGATTTATATCTAAATATATTTTATTTAAATATTATATATATATATATATATATAAATTGTAAACTTTAAACAAAAAGTATAAACTCACAAATTTTATATTGAATATGCCTTTATTTATTTTTTATTTTCATGTATCAAGTCCAAAATTTTCACAACATTTTTTTAAATTTTTTATTTTTTATTTCATATTCAATGTTTTTAAATATGAAATCACAATTATAATATATAAAATTTTAATTTTAATTATTTTATTTTATTTTTAAATTATTTAATTTTAATTATATTGCACCTTCGAGCGGGGTCCTAGTCCTAGCTCCACCACTAAATGACCTTAAGTTGAAAGCTCCTATAAATACCTTATTTGCTACACATAGGGAGATGTTTTCTAAATGGATCTCTTGAATCTAGGCTAAACCAATTTGGACATGTATGACTTGTTGATTCAAATAGTTGTATTGATTGTAGCGGAGTCATTTGAGACTTTCAAAAAATTTGAAAAAAAGGGATTCACAAATTTTTTGAATCATTACCTAATTATTGAAATGAAATTCTTGAAAGTTCTTAAAGGACTAAACCTTTGATGGAAGAAAACCATTCCCATGTCAATGTTCACTGCAATGCAATGGAAGTAATTCATTGCGAATACAGTCTCAATTGTCCTCTCATCAACCCATCAAACAGATTAGAAAATATTCTCATACACGATTAACAAGTCTCCATCGATCATGGTTTTAGATAAAAAAATTATTGCACCAATTGGCTAGCTCATCAAACGAATACTTTCAAATTTCAATATTAAGAATTTTTAATAACCTACCACTTGGGTGTAGGGACTTTTTATGTTCATATGCATTTTGATTTATTTGTAATCGCACGATTTTTTACCATGGTCATATCAGATCAATTAAAAAAAAAAAAGTAGGTGCGTTTGTTTTTATATAATATATGTAGCCAGAAAATAAAATAAAAAACAGAGTACAATGGGTGATGAGCTTTAGTGTAATGTAATCTAATTTGTGAGAGCTATGCTTGATTGGTACTGTGATACTTGTATTAGCCTAAGTTTTTGGTAATCTTGAGTAAAATCATAAGGCTAGTGTAAGCCTATATGACAGTTTTAGGTTGGCTGAGACCTACTTGAGTTGTTGATGAGTTTGTGCAAAATCATCAATTAAGATTGATACTGTTTAATAAGAAAAAAAATATTTGCAAAAAAACTAAAAAAATAAAAAAAATTTAGATTTTTTTCAGGTGCTTGGGCATAAGACAGCCAATCAAGATAATTTGGTTATGAAAGTTAGAACTGCCAATGGTATTAGCTTATTATTTGTTCTTGTTTCTTTTTTATTATTTGTTAGGGAAGAGAAAAAACATAGTATTAAATAAAAAATAATAATTAATAACTAATTATTGGGATAATTTCTACAGAAATGTTGCATTTCCGTTTTTTTCCTACAAGATATTTTTCCTTATATAAAAGATAGATAGATATCTTCCCCATGCAATGTATGAGGAATAATAACTTAAAAATTTTTCTTGAAAATAAAACTGTACTGCTACAAAATAATGGCGTGAAGAATGTATGGGAAAGTTGGGAAAATTAGTTTTTTAAAAAAAGTTATGTAAAATTAAACAAAAGGCATTATTCACGAATTACGAATAGCAGAGCATTTTATAAATTTTATATTTTTTATACTAATATTGATAATTTGATTTTATACAAGGGAAAATTGATCAATGATCATGTTTGGGGATCATGAGTTGGAGAAGCTTGGGCTAATTTCCTAAGGTTTTCAATGATCATGACCAATTTCGTGTTAAGTCGATTCACAAAGCACTTGGGCAGCCAACCTGCTGGATCCAACTGAAACCCAAAAAAAAAAACAAACAAACAAACAAGAATGTGAGAAATGAAGTTAATTCAATCAATGATCTAATTCAGTACCCAAAAAAAAAATCAATGATCTAATTTCTCATCCAAAAAATAATTAATCTATTTTTTAAAACAATTCATATTACTTATTTATGGAGCCTTAAATCTTAAAAGGACACATGCACAAAAGAAGAGAGGGAGATGCGGTGATGGGTCAACTCATCTCAAGTGGCTCGGTGGATTTTATATGCAAGCATAGATAGAACCACCATAATTTTTCTTCGAATGAATTGATAAAAAATTAATATACACAAAATTATATATATAACTAATTATATCTAATTTCTTTTTTTTTTCAATTTGTTAAGTATAATAAGTAGACCCTGTAAACAGTAGAGAATATTTCTTGCGAGATACATATTGAGAGGAATAGATAAACATTTCCCAACTAAATTGTAATTATATCTAATTTCAAAACATTGCTTAACTAAGGTTTAAAGGAGGCATTCAAATCCACATATTTAAATCAATAGACGCGAATCTACAAATTCATACCAAATAATAAAATAAAGACATGCATCATAATTACTTTATTAATAGTTAATTACTTAATTATATAAATAAAATAAAGGGAAAGACCAACATACTTATTAACCTTATAAAATTAATAAGCATTTATTCAATCAAATTAACATTAAAATAAGTAAATTTAATGTACTATTAATATGAATAATAAAAATTTATTATATAATAAATAATGTAAAAAAATTCCATATATCATGATCGAATAAAATAAAATTTTGTCCTAAAATAAAGGCATAAAATCATCATAACTTTATTAATAGTTGACTACTTTATTGTATAGTGAAAATAAATATAAATTTTATTATAAACATAAAATGAGACAACCCGTAACTTATGTCAAACAAGTTTTTTTTTTTCATACAGTTATTTAATTGAGTTATATTTAAGTATTGTCAAACTTAATTTAAAATACTTTATTTTAAAATATGTGGCATTTTTTTGGCAGCACAGCTTTTTCTTTTTTTTGGGTGGGTTTAAGTAAACCAATCCAGAGGATTCAACCCATATTTTTTAAATTTAATAAAAAGGAAATAAATATAAAATACCTGAACAACATAAGTGACAACACAGGAATCATCTTCAAGCTTCTCTACAACCCATCCTGACTGCAACAATAATCCTCTGATTGCATTGCTTTGCTTTGGATGCAATCCTGCTGCTATCTCCTTTGGCAATGATGCCACTGCTACTACCTGTAATTATTTATTTTCCTTTTCAATTATATTTCTCCACCATTTGCTTAAACATTTTTAATCATCCTAATAATAACTGCATCAAGGAAAAATATTATCCTAAAATTTATTCAACCAATCATTGTAAAATTATGATTCAATTGATCCAAATTATCGTATCATGTTCATTCTTATTTTAACGTACACATTTGTAAACATCTCCTCAAGCTCTCTTTGGCATCCCCACAAGAAAAGGAAAAGAAATATTTTGTATAAAAATCAATACATGCAATACCTATTGTATTTACATCTTTGTCATTTTTTTTTACCATTTTATTATTAAATGGTATGAAAGATTTTTCATATTTATAAAATCAATTTTTTTAATTTTTTCCCCATTTTATTCCATAATGTGTTTCAAACGGACCCATATTTCATTAATGAGATGGCATCCATTGTAAAAGAATAAACACAAGTGAAAAGTGAAAGTATAGGAAAAGCTAAAAAAGGAACATTTACATGTAACTTTAATGATTACAGGGGTATAGTTATATTCATCAATTAACACGAAATTTTTTTATTAAAATTAGTACTATTTATTTATTTTTAAGTCAGCCTAAACTTTTGGCAAACTTTATATTCTTCCAATGAAATCAAGTGAAGAATAAAGTAAATAAATTGTTTGACCTATCATGTTGTATGTCATTGTAAAAATAAGGCTTGAAGTGTAATTTTTTATTCTTATACTTTTCTTTGAATAGTATTGAACATCTTATACTAATAAGGGGGCATTTTTTTTAAACCATTTTTTAAATGAGCAAAAATCTCTCTTTGTTAATGATTCGTTAATGGAGAGGATTTTTGTTCTTTTAGAAAATAGTTTAAGAGAAAAAATACCCTACTTATCAGTATAGGTGCTTATGGCTCCTCAAAGGAAAATATAAGGATAAAAATATAATTTACCCTAAAAGTAAATATTAGTGGCTATTTTAATTTAAGTAATGATTATTTTTCCATTCACAATGATTATAATAAAACAAGTAACTACAACCTTCCCTTTGCAAATTGCAAAAGATATTTATAATACTTGGACTTTAGTGAATAAAAAATTTGTACAAAAAAAGTTATAATTGATTGTTCCATTCTACTCATTGCCAGAAAGAAAATTAATCATTGCTTAAATTAAAATAGTTACTTATATTTATTTTTTATTTTAAATTGAAGGTATTTTAATTATTTCACAAAATAATCATTAATGTTTGGAAGGTCCTTAGAGACTTAAGAATGATCATGATATTTTGCAAGATTTTCTTATCATTTGCATATTTCAGAGGGTTAAAGTGTATTTCCTCTAGTATTTTTTTTTTGGAGAAGCGTTAGGCACCCTATATTAGTAAGTGAACTATTTTTTTTCCTAAATTATTTTTTAAATAAACAAAAATTTTTCTCCATTAGTGGATCACTAATAGAAGGTGATTTTACTCATGTAGAAAATGATTTAAGGGGGAAAAAAAAACCTCATTTACTAGTACAGGACATCACGCACTCCTCTACATAGAGCAAAAATATATTTTAATCCCAAAAATAAAAATATAATTCACTTTTATCTATTCATTTCTTACAATGATATATTATCTGATATCACTAACTAATTCGATCCAATAACTTCAACTGATGGGAAAAGGAAATTATTGTGAGTATTATTGGGGAAGGAGAGAGGAAACTAACCAAGGTGCCATCTTCCATGGTTTCTCGACGTTCATAGACAATGAATTCTCTATTGCGAAAGAGAGGTTTAGAGTTATCTCCAAACCTTAGACGAATTATGCTTAGGTTGTCTTCCAAATCTTTTATGTATCTTGCCTCTATTAGATCTGAGTCCCATTGCTGTATTCAAAACCCAAGCCACCACTATCAATCAAAATTACCAATAAAAAATATAAAATCTGCCAAAAACAATTTATAATACTTAGTAATCATGTATAAGAAAAAGTTTAAGTGAATTATATTTCAAAAGTTTATCTCAAATCAAAACATGTTTCTAAACTCAGATAACACTTATAAAAGTATTTACATATTCTCTATTAACAAAGTTTTTCTAGTAATAATAGAATTTGATCTCATAATTTTATGTGCCGTAACAAAGACGAATCTAAATGTACTCCCCCCTATTTGCTTTGTATTTAGTTTATTCTTTTTATGTAAAAAAATGGTTAAATTTATTTTAACCCCCATATTTTATGATTTTTAAAATTTTGCTCCTCATGTATGAGACTCTAGATCTATGCCGCCTTGTAAATCAAATTCTTATCAATCAAATTAACTTTTTATATGAGCTCTAATATCACAAGTCTTTGACCCAAATTAAACGGATGAACATTAGCACATTTTCAATTTCATACAACCGTGTACGTAGGACTACCTAAAGTGACTTGACTTAAGGTTATGGACAGTATAATCCATCTCACACCAGTTATGCACTAGAAGAAAACAAAAAAAGAAAAAGAAAAAGAAAAAAAAGATAATATTTTCTAAATCATAATCGGACAAGCTTTTTATTTAACTGTTTGCAACAAGAAACGACACTTTATGGACTGCCATTGTTAAGGACAAAACTTTCTTTTCAATTCGCTGGCTTGGAATCTGATCCTCTTTCGGAGTTTCCTATTCATTCTGTTTCACTTTTTTTTTTAAGAAAATAATATTTTTGATTCCTATACTTTGATCAAGTTTTAATACAAGTTTTGTTTTTGAAGTTCTAGGTCTTTATACATTTTTTCATTGCAATATCGATCCCTACGTTTTTAAAGGGACAATAACATGACACAAATGATATTAATAATACTAACATGTTAATTAACATTATTAATTTTGTGTTTATGTGTCAAACTGTTATTGATATGCATTTTTAATAAGCCAAAAAAAAAAACTTACATCAAATGAAATAAAAAGACTGACTTAGAATCTTTAAATTTTTGCTTATTAAAAAATCCATGTCAATATCTTTATTTCATCTGATGTAGGTTTTTAAAAAAAAAAAATTGCTTGTTAAACTATCCATGTTAGTATCAGTTTGACATATAAGTATAAAATTAATGGTGTTAATTGATATGTCAGCATTATTAACACAGTTTGTGCTTTATCAATTTTCCTTTAAAAATGTAAGACCAATGTTGTAACAAAAAAAAAAAAGTGTAGGGATATGAAACACTGAAAAAATATAGGGATGTATATCAAAACCTAAGCAAAGTATATGAACTAAAAATAGTGTTGTCCCTTTTTTGTGAATTTGGCCTCTTTTGAGTATTAAAAAAATTGTTATCAATACCATCATATTTTAAATGTTGGTTTCTAATTAAATTTAAAAATATATTAAAAATTTTGGCATAATAGATGATTTCAGTGGAGTGCTAAGGGGCGTTAATTGGTCAGGTCAGAGGGAGCTGATGATCTTATGTCATTCTATTAAAAATATTTTATAAATGTTAATATACTTTCTTGTATGAAATTCGAAGCTAGTTAAACTATTTTAACTTATAAGTATGAAACAATACTTTATAATTTTATATTATATTTCCTCTGGTCTCAATATAAAAGAAATTTAGGAGACTTATTTTAATTCAAATTATAAGAAAAAACTTATATTTGGTTTATTAATTATATTATTTCAATTATACCATTCATTAAATTGGGAGTGGAGATTAATAACAATAATTAATTAAATATAAGATAAAAATTCAAACATTAAGTTGACAGCATTTAAAAAAAAATTAACATGTGACCCAGTAATGGATGGGTTACAAATAAACAGTATAATGATAATCTAAGTTGATACTTAATAAGGATAGGTTTGATATGAAGATGCGGGAGAGGTGTGATGGTACACTAAATTGGACTTTTTGTTTTCCCATTTCTGCAATGTTCAATTATTTTTTGGTAGGGACAAGTACGGTACAAGAAGATCCTTTTCGTTTTCATTTACTCATATTTTTTGGTTAAAAAAAAATCCACCTGAGCATTTTTTTTTTAATGATAGAGCAAATAATACTTAATTGTTCGTGTTGCCCTTTTTAAAATGTCAATAATATTAGTGCGAGTTGGGAGACTTTTTACTCCATTGACTTAAAATTAACTATTTTAAAAAAATAATATCTTACATTGCTTCACATTATCTTCTAGAATACTCAAATGTTTCTTCCAAAAACACTCACAATCTTATCGTTTATGAGTTATTAACAAGTCATTCATGCATCTTGAAGTCCATGAAAATAGAGAAGTCATATTAGTTAGTTAGGTCTGAGGTCTTAAATGTCCCACTCTAATGCTTTTCTGCAATATCTTTAACTTTTCAATTGTTCTTTTCTTGTTTCTTTTGACATATTTTTTTAATTCTATGTAGCTTAAAAAACATGAGAGTATTAAGCTTATTCAGATTAATCCAAACTCCTATTGTATGTATATCTAGGATTTAAACTTGTAAGATAAACTCATCACACTCCTTGAATTAATTCAACCAAACACCACCGGGGCATTTTGACATATTACAATAATGAGAAGTTTTGTATTTTTAAATGATTTTTTTAAAAAAAAAATACCCTAAAACTATGTAGTTTTAATTTATTCTCAGCTAAAAAAATTTAAAAAAATGCAAAAACTTCGCCATTTTATCACTGTAAGATCAAAATATCTCTCATTTTACCAAAAAAATTCTAATAATCAAAAGGAAAAAAAATTACGAAAATGATGTATTAGAGAGAAGGAGCATAAGAGGGCAAGTCGAAAAAAATGATGTATAAGTGAGAGGAATACACTGACCTTAGCAGCATCAATGGCGTTAGCGACGGTGATGAATTGCTGAGGGGAGAGAGATCGGAGGAGCCAGCGGCTGCGGAAGGTATGAAGTGAGCCGGACCGCCGCCTCGATATCTCGACGCCGTTCTCGACTCCCTGCACCTTCCACCCGTCGCCGCTGCCTCCGCCGGAATCCGACGCCGACAACAGCTCTTGTATGCAGCTCTCGCTCGCATAATGCACGTACCTCCTCAACGAATCCTCGCTTATCGACCTTCATGAACAAGAACCACAACACAAATAATACTTCAACACATCATCACCAATCTTCTCATCATCAGTTTCAATTCAAGCCTTCTAAATATCACTGAAACTGATGATTTGTTTTTATCACTGAATTCAATTTATATATTAGCATTGTAATTAAGCACTGAAAAAGGATTTGTTTTTGGTAATTGATTCATCCTTCTCCATGGAAAGGAAAACTCATGAGTGAGTAATTACTAATTAGCAAGAAGAAAAGATCTAGGAAGCTGAGAGAAGATTAGAGAGAGAAAAACTGTTTGAGAGCAATTCATTAGAAGGCATGTTGAATAGAAGAAGAAGAAGGAAGGCTTACCAGGATCTGGTGCAAGGAGGAGCAGGACTCCCATTAGTGCTCATATTGTGGTTCTGAGATTTTTGATGAAGCCACTGATTGGGGTTTCACAGACACACAGAGTGAAGGGTTATATATAGTCCCTCCGTTATTTTTCAATAGCACATGAACTAAGATATCAAAGTTAATTACTACACACACAACTACTCCATCCGTCATTATATATAATATATTTTTAATCAAATATTACATATTAATAAAGATTTATTATTTAGTTAAACTCATATAAAAATATAATAATTTTTCAGTTTTACTCTTAATAATATCATTATTAATATCATGATGGTGGTAGAAAAAATATATAACTAATGATCTATTTTATTTTTTAAGACAAGAGTAAAATTATCTAATTACTCAAAAATATCATTACAACCTTTTATATTTAGGGACAAAGTAAACGTTTAAAAAACACCTTATACATAGAGATGGATGGAGTATTATGGTTTGAACCTCCAACCACTTATTTAAATGATGAAAGTCATACCACTCATGGCAAGTTTAATTGGTTCTATCCATTTTTAATTTTTATTATAAGAGAAAATATCATATGCTTTCTTATTTTTTTATAAGAATAATTATGGAACTTAAGAAGTATTTATCATATTTTTTAAAAATTGTCCTTCATAAAATTGAAGTTTATTTTCAAGAGACAAACTTGTTTTATTGATTACAAGGGCAATTTAGTTTGATTTTTTTTATTTTAAACATAGTGATAATAATTAACTAAGTTTTTCTTTATATTTAAAAACGGAGGGAATATATATATATATATATACACATATAGACTTGAAGCTTCTAACATCCTACCCTCTAATATGTAATGCCTTAACCTACTTATTTTTGTTTGTGTGTATATATGTATAAAAAGGAAGGAGAAGTGAACAATAAAGAAAATTAAAGAGAAGTGGGAGGTCACATGGAATGCCAGAAGAAGCTTTAAATCATTAGAGCAAATTAGATATGAGGGATGAGAGAGAGATAGATTCTCTTTCTTCACCCAAAAAAGCAGAAGTGGAAATGGCAGCAAATATGAGGCACATGGACTGTTGGGTGGCTTTTAGCAAGCTCATGAAAAATAAATTAAAAAAAAATATAAATATTCAAGGGAACAGAATCACAGATATAGAAAGAGGCACGGAGATATGAACTGAAGAATGACATTTATTAGCAGAAACTAATTAAGATTTATAGCATCCTAAGTTTCAATTACTATGTACAAAGGACGTACGATTAAGGAATTTTTTTGCCCCATATGTATCATAAGCTTGTGCCAAAAAGTCAAAAAAGTATACTTGAAAATTCTGAATAAAAGACATCTGTGTTACATAATTTTAAATTATTAAATTATTTCCCCAGTTATCTAGCATTTAATATATATATATATATATATATTTGCTTTCACTACTGTATCTTAGATCTTTGACCTAGGCTAATTCACTCCACAACAGTGAAGCAACATTCGAAAAAGAGGTGGCAAATGCAACCCCTCAGGGGAATATTAAAAATTTGGTGTAAAAATTTTAATATTTTGCATCTACGCCCTTTCAAATGTTGCACCCTTTACTTTTTTGAGGGACGTATCTCTCATTGAGAGTTTAATTGCCATTGCACGTCCAATTCCTAATTAAGTATCCAATGTTTAATATTCAATAGTTTTGATTAAATGGGACCTCATCAAGGCGACTAACCCATCTATGTAGTTTTTCTGACTCATGCTTCAAATCTATACTTTTATATATATATATATATATATAAAAGACTGAGTCCCTTTTACTCTATTCAATTATTATTTTTTCTATAGTTATTTTGCAACTATGCATGAAAATTATGATTTAGAATTCTTTAGTTTTTTTAATCTTTTAGTCTTTTGAATATTCTTTTAAATCATTTCATCTACAGAACTACAAAATGTGTTTTTTACAGCAATACTCTATACTTGTTAAAATAAACCGATATAAAAAAAAATATGACAGGTCATAATTTTGTAAATGATGTCACCATATTGTCTTCTTAGTTTCTACATCTATAAAAAGTTGAAAATTTTATAAAAATAATTTAAAAATTAATTACTTTTTATATTTATTGTACAGGTAACCGACATAGGAAATTTACGGTATTAAAGAATTAAAATTTGCGTTTACTTTGTTTCAATTATAAAAATTAGAGGAAGAAGAATGTAACCAAAGACTTGTTTTCCAAGTCAGGCCCCAGCCACGTGCCATGAAAGAGCTGGTTCTCATTCCAAACAGCGAGGCTCTCACAAGAAATGGTCCCAATTGACATTGTCCTTTCCCTCCTTTGTCCATATGTTAGGTGCAAAGCTAACCAACTCTTTTTTTTTTTTTTTTTTTGAGCTATCAAGTAATTTTTTTTCATCAATTAATTTTTTTAACATTACGGTTGAATTTAACATAAATTTTAAGTATTAAATTTTAAAAATTTATAAACTTAATTTTTAATTTTATAATTTTATTACGATTGAATTTACAACTTATATTTTAAATTTTTTTAAAAAAATTATTTATTTTTCAACTATCTTAAAATTTTAAAAATAAGTTATAAATTTATTACAATAAATTACAAAATTAAAAGATGAATTTACAAATTTTAAAAGTTTGATATTTAAAATCTAAGTTAAATTGATTGATTTCTTTGGTATCTCTCTCTCATTCTCCCTATAATGTAATGTTTGATTTTTGTTTTCAAAAGTTATTTTTTTGTTAAAAATACAAAAAATCGCTTTGTTAAGTGGTTTGAATTTAAATCAAGGGCTTGTTTTCGCTTTTAATTTTTAAAATACATTACATTTAATTATTATAACTTACTTTCAATTATAACCAATTACTATTATAACCGGCTGTTGCTATCAGCCATTTTTTTTAACTCTAAAGTTACTTTTAAATTAATATAATCAAGCAAATTTTCACTTCATTTTATTTTAAAATAATTTTTACAAATTAAATTGTAAAATGCTTTTTATTAGAAAATAAGAACAAAATTGAACAAGCCGTTAATCTCCACCTTCTTTGAGAAAAGATCAAGTCATTTCCTCTCAATATAAATATGGATAAAAAAACAGTTAACTCATTAATTCAACTCTATATTGTTGGAAAAAGGAAAAGAGTTACTCCATCATGTTTAAAAATATGAAATATTTTTAATTAAATTTCACTCATCAATAAAATAATTATCTACCTTTAAATTAATCCTATTTTTTTATATTTATTCTTATTAAACACTCTATAATAAATATAAAGTCATTATTAACAGGGGCATTTTTTTTAAAAAAAGAACAATAATTACATCTCAAAATATTAAAAATATCTTATATTTTTTAACATTCAACTCTTTAATATATTTTTTAACGAAAAAAGTATATATTATTTGACAAAACAATAAAACATTAATATTCATAAAAATTAAATTTTTAAAATTCAAAATGGCTCATATAAAATAAATAATTATCTATGATCATCGAATTATAATTTTTTTGCATAACTTGAATTTTTAATTCTGAAATTATTTTAAAAAAATAAAATTTAAAATCAATTCCAAACAAATATATTCAACCAGTTATGGAATTAAAATTGTCTCTAAATTTAGTTTTATGTCATCGTTGTCCTGAGATGTGACCACACTTGCGTTGAATTCCACATATGTATTCGCGTGGTGCGTAGCAGTTGAAGGGGAAATGGCCATCCCATTTTCCTTATTCTTAAATCTAATTATTATGAAAGTGACACCAAGGTACTCCACTTGATACGTGACTCAAACGAATCACACCTTTTTTTTTAATTTTTTTTTTCAAAAAAGAAAAGATAAAAGGAGAATGATATAGGTAAATGGCAACAAGAATAACATAAAATGGAACATCTATTTTGAAACCCTTAAGGACTTTTTTTTTTGGTATAATTACTCTGATCATTTGCAAAATAACAAAAAGTCGGCATTATAATGTCATTTCTAAAAGATCTACCCAATCTGCATTATAAGTCACTGACAGCTGAGGACTTCTCATTTTAAAATAAAATTTTGAAAATGTTCATCCATTTTACTCCATCTTTGTTCAACTGCGCGCTCTCTCTCTCTCTCTCACTTTGGCCTTTTCTCTCACCATCCGCTTTTTCTGTATAATATTATGATATAGAATTATTTTAAAAATAATATTATATTGTTTGGATTACTTTTTAGTTTTTTATTTAAAGGTCAATTTTGAAATTTCATTTATAATTATTTTTTGTACTGTTGTTGCATTAGTATTAGTGAGATTGATAAATGTGACTTATAAATAAGATTGAAGGGAGTAATTGTTAAAATATAAATTACAATTGTTAATAATGAAGATCAATGTGTTGGCATAAAAAGCTTAGATATTATTGTATAAGTAAAATAAAGTTTTTGCAGGTTGTGTTGTTAATCACTAAGTTGAAACTATTTAGATAGGAAGTATTGTTATTATCACATGACTAAACTAATAACTTTCATTTAGTGATTAACAACTTCAATTTATATTTTAACAATTATGCTTTCTGTTACACGTATTTTGTGCAGGATCAGAAACGTGGCCTTGGAAGGAAAAAAAAAAAATTATATCAGGCAAGTACCTTGGAATTTTAGAGTAATTATTCCATTAATTTTGCCGTACTCTTTTATCATTTGCCTATTTAGATGGAATCTATATGTCATTCTCCTATGATAAAACTATTTTTTTAACCAATCAAGAAAGTATAAAGTTAAATTCTTTAACTAAAAATGTTTCTATAAAAAAATTTATTTTTCAAAAAAATCAAAACCAAACAAAAAGTTTCCGGAGGAAAATTACAATTTAAACCTCCAAGTTAATTTTTCATTATAGAATATTTGAACATAAATAGTTAAAATTTGATAATAAGATATTAGTTGTTGACTTGAAAAAAGTTGAGTGAGGAATGTGTAATTATTTCGAGTCAAGTCTTTGCTCATTGCCGTCACCCTCAAGTTTGTCAATTGCGTCTTGTTCAACAAGACACAAGAGGCCTGTGTTTTTCCCCACACAAGAGGGCTTTTTTTACCCCTTTCATTCTTTGTTCCTCCAATGCACATGTTATAATTTAATTTTATAGAAAATTTCAATTAATTTCCTCAATTTTGTTTGAAAAACTTATTTCTTTAATTTTATAAAATATTTTTAATTTATCTAACTCTGATATCATTGATTTTATTAACTGAAAATATCGAGATTATAATTTAAATTGCTAATAAAACATTCTCAAATTTTAATCTATTGAGTTTAATATTTAAAAATAATAATGATTAATACAAAAATAATCATTTGTGTATTCTTTGTTAGTCTTTTTGTGTTAATGAAATTAATAGTGTTAGAGTTTAAATACTAAAAAAGTACTTTATAAAATTAAAAAGACCAAATTAAAATATAAGTTAAAAAGCCTAAATATATATTTTTACTCTTTTTTTGTTAACCAATGGAGGTGGGATCGAAGGCATTTGATTTTTCTTAGTTCAAATCTTGTTGATAAAATAAAAAAAAAAATACTTTAAGAAAGTTATCTCCATTGGACGAAATTCGAATTTGACATGAGAGTACCAAATATTAAATAATCCTTCAAAACCAAATACTTCATTTACCATTCTTGTTTTGAGCCATAATCATTTCATTCTTTCCCCCAGCTTATAAAACATCATGCTTTTTTGTATTGCTTGCACCTACACGAAATTCTAGACCTGTCCCATGATGAGTTAAAAGACTTAAATGAGATCCAAACTAATGTGAATCGAGTATTAATAAATCCTTTAAAATGATAGGTTATTTCACAACATTTTAACAATATTATATTCTTAGGATCTAAACTCAAGATCGTTAACTAAGCTGCAACAATCTCTTACTACTTGATCCATGTTCGGTGGTAGAAAGCATATATACTCTTAGAATCATCCCAGGCTCTTTTTTTTTTTTAAAAAAAATGAAAACCTTGAAGATGACCATTTAATAAAGTGAAGGGACAAGAGTCTTTTTAACAAGAGGCATGAGAAGCAGTAGTACAAGGTTGAAGTGGCATACAGGTGTAGAATAAATGCTGCTCTCAAAAAAAAAAAAAGGAGGCAAAGAAGTATGATGAAAGCAAGTGATTTAATTTCCTAAGTATGGTATAATTACATTCATAATTACTTCCACTATATCAAATAAAAATTAATACAACAATCATGCTTTGGATGTACACTAAATTTAATACGATATGATTTTCCTACCCTTTTGATTGAAATGAAGAGAAACGGAAGATACGGATCCTCAGGCTTAATAATGCCAATGATTCTGTACAAAATCATTACTTTTACTGCCTAAATTTATAAACTTAAAATATTAAAGATCACAAAAGTTAACAGTAACTTTTCAAAAACATATAAGAAATAACTTCTAACTTCTTTCGTGAGATATATTTTAGACATAATATAAGTTTTAGTTCTAAATTTTTTTTAATTATCAATTTAATTTTTGATCCTTAACTCAATACAACTCAAGTTTTGTAGTTTCAAGGATAAATTATTGATATCATATTGTTTGAAACAAAGCTCAAAAGCTGATTTGATAAGTGTAAGTAAATTCAAGGATCAATTATTGATATCATCAAATTTTAGGGTTCCACATTCATTTCTCTCTGTTGTTGTTGTTTTTTTTTTAATAAGAAAAAAAAAAGATTATCTTTCACTTTCCTACGAAACAACCAATCCAGCTTTCGATGTTATCATGACGCCAAATTTAAAGAAAGCTAGGTCCTTTCTTGTTATAATGATGGAAAATGATTTTTATCACAATTTTTTGTACAACATTTATTATACACATGCCGTCATTATTATACATTTGCAACAGTAATTTAAAATATTTATGTATAACTCACTTCTAACATATTTTATTACAATTAAAGAAAAGCTAAAAGTTCACTAACTTTAACCAAATATTTAATAAATTTTTAAATTTACCTATATTAAATATAGATATTTTAATAATGTATTTTCTTTCACCAACATTTAATATGGATAAAAGAAAATTTGTGATAAACATTTAATGGACATAACTTGTAAATAAGATTAAAAAAAATCCTTCTCTAAATCTTATAAATAGGATTTAGCATCATTTAAGCTTAAGGAAGCCTCTAGACAGAAGGCTGTCCACTGCCTCTCGTACAGCATCTTCAATTGGAGTGAAGAGCATTCCCAAGTCTATTAGCCTCTTGGCAGCATCTTCACATGCTACCAAGCCAGGTTGAGTTTCTGGAGGGAACCTGCATGTGGCTATGATCAGTCAGAGAAAGAACCATCACATGAGAATTTCACATAATGTTTCAGAGCAAGGGACAAGGAACACAATCGATCTGCAATCAATCCACATTCATGAAGTGAATTCACTGGTTAAGTGATGAGTCTCTCACTCACTCACTCACTCACTCACTCACATGTGTCCTCTATTTTTTTCTTTCAAAATTTTCAGTGCTCAAGAAGAACTTCGTATTTCACAAAATCGCATCTACTGATGTCAGTTGGATCAAGTGAAAAAAAGATCCTATACCATTTTTTAAGCAATTTCTCAAATTTGAGCCGAATGAATGGGGAAAAAAATTGAGAGATTCTCTCTATTTGAAGCTTGACTGTAATTTTCCCTATTATCAAATACCATATGATTGTAGGGGAAAAACCAGCTTGGTAATTTAGTGGAATCCTATCTACTAACAATAGTTGGATTGAGTAAAAGAGACACACAACAAGTTTCGAGTACAAAAAGATCGTAGTAGGAGGGTTTCCTCTTATTTGGGGCCAAAAATGGTTTGAATCTAGATTTAGTCAGTAATGTCAAATATTATATATATAGTTCTCACTCAAAAAAAAAAAAAAAAAAAAACCAATTTGACAATTCAGTGGAACAAAATTTATAGAAAAAACTCAAAATCATATACGATGCACATAAATGTAATGTAATGATGAGTCCCAATTTGGTTGATTTATCTGAGTTTAGTTAAATAAAGATATCCAGGTTGTGCTGTTTCCCAATTGACATACACCGCCAACTGATCTTACACCCACATGCCTAGAAAGAACATGAAATCATTTTATAATAAAGCAAGTTCTTGGGATGAACTTTCCTTGAAGCCAATCATTGCTCATTTATCCAATAAAAAAAAAAAGATGACGAAAAAAATATCAAAAAAAAAAAAAGGAAAAAGGGGAGGGGGAACCATCACCTCTCAAATGGGGAAAGAAATTTGAACATAAAGTTATCAAATTAATGATTGCTCAAGATAGATAATAATAACTGACATCCAGATGAGACATTCAATTTAAAATGCCATTTAAGTGGGCAATCATTATTTAATTGCTTCAAATAATTCAGGTATTTTGAATGACTAACAAACAAGGAGCTACGGTCAAGATATAACTACGAGTCAAGATTCCTCATGTTGCAATGCAATTCTTCCTCCTCACCAATCTCTTGCCTTAATTTCACCTAACATGCATTGTTCGCTGACTTATGAACAACTTTATCCGTAATCATTAATCAAATTTACCAAACCTCAAGTCTTTCCTAGTCCTAAGTTGAATTTCTTTTATCTCAAGACCACAAAAGAAAATAAAACAAGGATATAAGACACAGCATAACAATACAAAACTCAAGGTCTCTGTAATTTATACGCTTTCTTTTCGTGAGGACTAAGGTTTTATTAGTGTTTCTTCCCAAAAGTGCCAAATAAATGAGGGCGATTACAATGAAGGACCTAAATATTCTGATATTTAGGGTGAAGTCTCTAAAAAATTACAATATACAAGGACCCAACTCCCAAGGACAAGATAAGCTGAGGAAAGGACAAAAGTGACCTTAGTTAAACTTTTTTTTTTTTATAGTGATGTTTCCACTAGATTATAGGAAAGCTATTATGAAATTATAGAAATGTTACTAACATATTTAAGGTAGGACGCTGCCCTTCAAGATTATTAAAAAGCTACCCCAAGGGTAAAGACAATGAATCACCAAAGTTTGACCAAGTTACTCCAAGTTATACACTACCACAAAAATATATAGCAATGCTACAAAACAATGGAGGTAAATACACTTCAAACCTGATTGTAACATCCCTGCACCTGGATGGTAAATTTTCCAAAATCCAGATGTAAATTCTCAAAACTTGATTACGTTTATGTAAATTGGGGGTGAAACTCCTACAAGCTAGAGATAACTTGATACTTACCATGTAATGTTACTTTAGCTTCCAGAAAGTTTATGGTACATTCCTATTTCCTATAATGTTGAGTGAACTTCCACAAACATAACGATTACTTTCCTTCAGAATGCTGGAAAAATTCCTATGAGTTGATGTAACCTGGCTATAACTGTGATGTAACTTTCCCGAATCATGGCAGTAACATCTATAATGGTAGTAACATTTATATCAGTTGATGAGAACTTGCTCAAAATGTAGGGATTAATTGTCTAAGTCTTGATGCTTATTTTCCCATAATCTAGCGGTAACTTCTCGAGACAGGTTGGTAACTTGCCCATAACATGGTTAATATGTATGCCGCTTCGGAGTAACTTCTCAAAGCATGAAGGTTAATTGCCTAAATAGCGAAGTAACATTCTTACAACCTCGAGGTAACTTTCCCAAACATACAAGTAAAATTTCTAGAATATGATGGAAACTTTCCGATAAGTGATAACCTTAAGGTAACACAGCTATAATAAGGAAATTTTAACCAAGACCAATTTTGTCCTTTTGACGGCCCCATCTGAAATTTCTGTGGGACTTCTCCGTAAATATGAGAAAATATAGATCTTTCCTCGTGAATTTCCCAACAATTGAAGTCTGCACCGTGGTCAAATTAAATTTCCATGCTTAAGGGAAAAGTCACAGGCCCGTGATCAATAGTGATATTATTATATCAGTAACCTACCCACCTAGTATCTTCCTAACACTAAATGTTCTCATTTAATCTATCCCTCTACATTGTCCCCAAACATAGGGGAAGCCAGTAATTAAATCAAACATAGCAACAAAAAAGTCTAGTACTAAAAAGCAAATAATGCAGAAGACAGTCAAACTATAATCAGTAATCACAAACACATTTTATCTGTAGAACAATAATGTACTCCAAGTCCCATGAGCTGAAGATGAGAAATTTCCAGAAAAACCTACAACCTCAAGATGAGAATGGGAGGGAATTTCTAATGGGAAAAAAAAGTAATTCTTATCTAAATCGGCGGGAAGCCCAAAAAGTAAATAAAAAAGAAGAAAACAAAAGAGAAATCATTACAGAATGGAAATAATAACCATATAGCTTCAAAGTAACAACGTGGTAGGTCAAACGAAAATTCTTCTTGACAGTTTAAAAGAAAATTGGGAGGTAGTAGGAAGTAGGTCAAAAGAAAAGAAATGGAAAAATAAAGGAAAGCTAAAAAATTTTCCCAGAACTCAAATAAAAAAGATATAAAAGATATACCTTAATTTAAACCAAGGTTTCACAAGATAACATGATTGTGGGACTAAAAGTTTTATTCAAGTCTCTAATCACATTAAATTAATCCAATTACCTTAAATAACAAATCTTAATTTTTTAAATAATAATTGGATTAGTTAGTTAAAATAAATAATTGATAGACAAATAAAAACAATTATTCCTCTATTAAAAAATATAAAGTATTTTTTGAGGAATTGGATATTAAAAATGTTTTAGTCTTTTGAAATATAATGATTTTTTTTTTTAAAATGTCCCAATTGATAATAACTCTATATTTATTGTAGGATATTCAATAGGGATAAATATAAAAAGAAAAAATTAGTTTGAAAATAAGTAACTATTTTATTAAAAATGAGATTCGATTAAAAATGTCTTATATTTTTGAATGGAGGGAGTAGTTTCTCTTTATGACAGATGGAGTCTAACTAAACCTCAAAAGCTCAAGCAAGCCCGTCTGTAATCCATAGAAACCACTGTTCATTTGAGTCATGTTTGCTAGCAGTCAGAAATAGGTATGCTTCTCAAACTCAACAACCATAATAACAGATAATCATCATAGTGGATCACCCACTTTTTTAAACCAAGTCAAGTTCATCTTCACACTAAGTAGTTGCTAATAAACCCAGACTAGAATGCATACTGAAAAGGGAGGAAATAAAATGCAAACCTGTGAACAGGGAAATCAGGGTATAACTTGGACACTTTGTTGGCAAAATCAGAGAACTGATAGATACCATTGGTACAGAGATATCTACCAGATGCATTTGGGCTTTCAAACAGCAATACATGCGCTTTAGCCACATCCTTCACGTGCACAGCTCCAAGCCAGTGATACTCCTGAGTATCCTTTGATCCCTCAAGCAATTGTTGAAGCACAGCACTACTAGCATTCAACGAATTCTGAAGCAAAGGACCCAGACAGGTCGCAGGGTGAATAGCCACCATGTCAATCCCATTCTTCTCCGCGTAATCCCACGCGCCTCTCTCGGCGAGCGTCTTCGACACCGGGTACCATTTCGCCCGCGACTTGCAGTAATCAAGGTCGGTCCAAGAGGACTCATCGAAGGTCCTGTTTGGGGGCCAATGAGGGTTTGGGACTATAGCGGAAATTGAGGATGTGAGAACAACACGCTTCACGTTGCACTTCTTGGCTGCTTCTAGAACGTTCAGAGTGCCCTGAACCGCCGGAAGCACAAGCTCCTTCTGTGGGTCGACAGGATCTTCGAGGGTACAAGGGGATGCCACATGGAACACACCGGAGCAACCGTCGACGGCACGGGTAACGGAGGCGGCATCGAGCACATCGACCTCGAAGAGCTTGATTCGGGATTTGGCGTCGAGGTGGAGTCCAAAGAGGTGAGAGGCGTCGGAGTTTGGGAACAAGGTTGCATGTATGGAGGCATAGCGAGGGTTCTGCAAGAGGGTTTTGACCAACCACGAGCCAATGAAGCCATTGGCTCCGGTGACGCACACAATTTCGGTGACGGTGTCTGGGGAAGCCATTGCTTGAATTTTGTGGGAGTAGGAAGGAGGAAATTTGATGAATTAAGTCTCAAATCTCAATCAAAAATTCAAAAGGGTCGCTGATGATAATGCATTAAGATTTGAGAGGAAATAGTGAGAGTACAAATTGAAGTTCTTCGAACGAATTCTTAGGCCGATGATGATTCAAGAGACGAATTGAGTCGCATACTTGAGCTTCACTGCTATTCCATCTAATCATTCATATACAGTTTTGGGGTATTTCTTTAATATAATTATTAATTTTTTTGGGGAATGATATGAGATTTGATCACAATTTTTTTAATATCTCAAGCAAATAAACATTATATTTATAGATATAGAGTTATATGAATTCAAAGATAACTTAGATGTTATTAATTATAATTTCCAAAATATCTGTGTTCCACTGTTGGAAGACAACTCTCTCGTGGGAACATGGTAGTGGGGTGCCATGCTTGAGGAATTGAAGTTGAGAGATGCGTTTTTGTTTTCCTTTTCATTTTATCCTTTCTTTTTATTATTATCGTTTTATTCAATTATTTATTAATTTAGTAAATAAGGCTTATCTATTAATAGTGCCTAGTCAGAATAGATTTACCTTAGATTATGGAAGATTACATAAACACCCAAGGCTAAAGAGTTGCAAAATTCTCATACGTACTTGCACCACTATCCGACAAAATTTTGAAGCTGAGTCCTCCATTACGTTGAGAACAACGCAAATTTTGAGATTTGATCAAGAATCCAAAAATGACCCCACCTATCAGAAAACCAAATCTTCTTCATAGAAAGTAGTATGGGATTGTCCTCAAGCCAAATTTGTCAACTCCGAAGGGTCTAGTAGTTGTGAAAGGATTGTCTTTTTTTTAGCTGTAATTCTTCCTTTATACACATCTTGTATGAACGCATAGGAAATGTGGATTAAATTAGTTGAGCATTCTAAGTGAAATATTTCCCTTTTCTTTTTCTTTCCTTCCAGGATTGGATATTTTGAATCGGAAAGAGTGGTGTAAAAAATTCAATTACAAGAAACATGTTTTGGTAAAAACTTTTTACTCGCGCTTGTTGTAATATCTAAAAAGCAAGACATGTTTGTCTCTCTTCTAATGAATGCATTGCTTTCATTCAAGGATGAGGTTTAGAAAAACACAAGCCATATGTGATGTCTATTTAAAGCGAGATGGTTTAGAGATGCTTGATCAACTACAATGGCACAATACATTGAGGGACTAATAGTTTACTCAAATCAAATTTATATGTTATAGTCTCAAAAATTGATAGTTTTTGAATGGAGGGAATAATAATTCAGAAAATAATTTTTTATTTGTTTAAATAAAAAATTTATCACAAAATTTCTTACTAAAGGTAAATGAATTTTATTTAATTAAAAATAAAAAACATAACTTTAATACTCTCTCTATTCAAAAACGTAAAATATTTTTGAAGATTTGAATGTTTAAAAATGTAAGACATTTTTAATTTCACAAGGCATAAAAATTGTCTTTTTTTTTCAAAAATTTCTCTATTAAATAAATTATTTTATATTTATTTTAGGCTAAAAAACTATATTAAATAGGGATAAATATAAAAAAATAGAGTTAATTGAAAAGCAAATAACTGCTTTATAAGAGTGAGATTTGGTTAAAAATATTTTACATTTTTCAATTGAGGGAGTAACAATACAATTTTTATTTATATTTAGACTATTTTATTTAATACATCATTATAATTTTATTTAATATGCTTTTTTTAGTAATTAATTTTAACAAATTCTTACCTTGAATGTAATTTAATAAACATTTAAAATGATGTTTTTAGAAAATAATTTATATTTATCTTGAGTATAAATCTTGCCCCCACCACCAAATGTTTTTGGGCTGGAGTATCGTCTGAGACTCAAAAATAACAAAAGAATTGGATGAAGAAATTCACTAAAAAGAGTTATGGGAAGTATGGTTTAATTTTCTCACGTTATAAAGATTAAATTTGAGGATGTTTATAATTGAATTTGACTCTATTACAATTATAAATATGTTGAAACAGTTGTTGTTATGTTCCTCTGTAAAAAATAGAATCCTTCGTCAAGTAAAGAATATGATTAATGATAGCTAACATATACGAGTAGCATATACTTATAGAAAAGAAAATTTTAATATTGATTGATTGGTTAATTGAAGTTTATCACAGAAATATGAATTATAAATTTTGAATGAGCCTCCTAAAAATTTACTTAATTTACTGTACAAAGATAGACTAAGCTTGACTTGCCCACGATAGATTTTGGTGTAATTTTGTTTGGGTTTTGTCCCCTTGTGTACCCAAAAAAAAAGAAGAAGAAGAAATTCACTAAAAATTTCAGTTACTATCCTACCATTGTGGGCAAAAGTGATAAGAATTTTAGAAGACCTCACCCTTTCTTGAAACAAGTTTCATAAAGTTAATGTTTATATTAACTCTCTTAAAACTCTAGCACTAATTTAAAACAAGTTCTCCCAAAATTATCCCCTCTACAACACAATCAAAAAGATTAAAGATTTTATTGTATAAAATTGAATTGTTACTAACTATATTTATGAGAAAGTAAATGAATGTACCCACCATTCACTAAAAAAAAAAAAAAAAGAATGTAACCACTGCTTGCTCATCAGGTGTCTTATCACACTTTTGATATCGAGATTTTTTATGATCCACTTTTAGGACGTTGAAACTTGTTAAGTTTTGACATGATTTAATTTTATTGTTTCCTTTCACAATTTTTTGGTGACTTTCAATTTTTTTAAAAAAAATTATTATGGCCAGCTTCCTTCAAAATGGTTCTCATAGTATCCTGCTTGAATTAGTCTCAGGCTTTCTCTAAATAAATTTTAACAGCAAGAAAACTTTTATTTTTTTGGGTTTTCTTTGGCTTCATGGAATGTATGATTTCTTGAGCAATGGTATATCATCACTGCTTTGTCTTCCTACCATGAAACTGCAATGGTGTTGGCCAACTACCTAATCCATCATGAACTTCATCCTATTAATGCTCACTTTAGAAACAATTTTAATATATTATGAACAAAATGTTGATAACTTTGTCGAGGGTTTTATTTCGCCTTTAAAAATAAAAAAAATTATCATATCTTTAATGAATATTTCTTGATTTGTTAAATTAATTTGAATTTTTATAATAAAAAAGATTGTGTAATAAACTAACCATTTGAGAAGAAAAAAATAGTCCAATTAACTTTTTTTTTTTTTTTAGAAAAGGAAAATAAAATAGCTGGACGTTGAGGCTAAGGTTAAGTCACTTGCCCAATCCAAATAGGAACCACTTGGATCGTTCACGATCAACAATGTCCGGTATTGACAGAAATATGTAAGCTTTGAAGTTGAAAATCGAAAATTTGAAGAAAATCTCGAAGACGAAGATGGATCGTAACTGCTAGTATCATGCAATTGGACCAGGAATTTGGACGATATGAAGAAGGAATAAGATCCTCTGGCTATGAAAACTGTTACTTCATCTTCATTGTCGTTGATTTCCCAGCCATGCTCCGGAATTAGCCCCTGCTATTACAGTGCTTCTTATTCTTCCTCTCTTACTAGTGCTGCTGCTTCTTCTCCTCACAGGACCATAGTTGCCAAAAGCAAGAAGCAGTATGAGGCTTCTAAGGTTTCTTTTTCTCTCCCCAAATGTCTTACATTTTGCTTCTGGTTTGATGTATGATCGTTTTAACTTGTCCTCAATTTACTGGTTGCGGCAGTTATAGTAACTTTGGGTGTGCAAATATTCTTGAGTATAATATTCGTGCTAATAGCCGCAGGGACGAATTTGTGAGTGTAAGTGATCGGGATAGGTCTGTAGAAGGTAGGTGAAGGTAGCGAAGAGATGTCGTCGTAATGTAAAAAATTCTAAACGGATAAAATTTTAGCATAATTTCAATTTGGTTATCGTTATCTTTGATTATATATGTAGTTTCACAGAACCAGTGATCTTCCCATTTGGTTGGATAGTACCAGGATTTGTGATGTTGTTGGGCTGTCATTGTTGGAACATATTCTCTCAGTGATTGCACACAAGGATCTCAAATAGTTTACCTGTTATATTTGGCAGGATAGTGAAGAATAATTCTGTTAGTTGGTGGTTGAAAAATGATAATTTGCCCATTCAGATGGTAGCATAGAGTTTACCTTTGTCAGTTTGTCCTAAGAAATAGTACAAGGTCAGGGCCTTTAACGCCTTAGTCAACATGGGTTGGAGAAGGATGAGAGCGAAAGTCTGGAGTGAGTTAGAGAGACAGAGAATTAAGTCTAAGAGGGGTATATTGAATGTATCAACATGCTAGGCCTTCAAAGGCTATGCAATTATTCTAAGCCGATGACTTGTAGGCAACTTCTAAATCCATGTAGCCAATCCTACCTTATGGGATGAGATTTGTTGTTCTTGTTGTTGTTCGTATTTATCTCCATGAGAAGGGGGAATTCTTTATTTTCTTGATTAAGCTTTGTATTATTCATCACCTTTTTGTTCCTCTCAGCACCTAGAAAATTTAGTGCTTCACAAATGAAAAAAAAAAAAAAATGATTCAACTGCTGCACTTTTTCTTTTTCCCTTGTAACCACGTTTGAAGGCCATTTTTATTTTCAAATGAAGAATACATGCTGTCCTCATATTTTATTTCCAGCAAATGGTTGGAAACAAAAATTTGCTATTTTCACTCTAAAATACTTTATTTGTGAACAAGGAATGCTCTTTAAATATTTATACTGATACTCATTTACAAGCATTATTTTTGACTATGCCTAACAGCCCTTTTTCAGTAGGGTTCGGAGTCATATCCTCCAAGAATTACTTCAAATGTGAAGCAAAACCTGCAATTCCTCAGGTTGTGGAAGGTAGGTTATGTGCTGTTGTGGAATTCACATTACAACCTCCTTTATGTATCCCATTTGATGGATATCTTGTAGGAGTTCCAAAAAAGAAAGTCTGGTACCCCCAGGCCTTCAACCAGTTATCGCAAAAAGAAGGTAGAGAAGGAGGATGTTCCTGAAGATACAGATCTCTATCGGGACCCCACCCTGAACCTCTACTAGTAATGATCTCCCCAGGTTTTCTATCTTGTCTAAGTATTCCTTTTCAATCATTTTAAATTTATTGAAGGAGGTTTACTTTTGTTCGCTACATCTTTTGTGCAGTACAAACCAGGGTATAGACAATGCAGTCCCTGTATTGCTTGTTGATGGTTATAATGTGTGTGGCTATTGGATGAAGCTGAAGAAACATTTTATGAAGGGAAGACTTGATATTGCTCGTCAAAAGCTTATTGATGAGCTCGTGACTTTTAGCATGCTGAGAGGTTTGCACCTTTTTGTAACATAATGGGATGTCGAGTTATAAAAGTCACTGTGATGTGAAATATGTTCAATAATAATAAAGGATCGATCAAGTTCTCATATTTAAGCTCTCTACATGGAAACATTATTTTCCTGCTTTCCTTTATGCATGCATATTAAAACTATTGAACTACGGTTTTGAGGATGAAGAGAATCTTTCTTTTCTTTTCCTAAATAGGTCCAGCAAATAAGGAAAACACTGCCTTGATATGTGCAATTAAGTGAAGATATTTCATTGTTCTTCTAATTAATGTGACAAGTTGCATTATAACTGTATACAAATGCAAAATATGGTTTTAACATTTTAATTTAGAATTGAAATAATTTAGATCTTGATACTTGAGAAATTTCAACTTTTATAATGTCATGCACTTTAGACTTTAGAATTAATGAAAATTGTTGTCCATTCTTATCATTGATACGTATCTTTGTTGCTGTGAACATTTACAGAGGTGAAAGTGGTGGTTGTTTTTGATGCAGTGTTGTCTGGACTACCTACGCACAAGGAAAATTTTGCCGGGTATAGTTTTGAGGCCTAAAATGTGGCTAAGTCTCCAAGTACTAGTTTTTTTATATTTAATCTGAAGTGTTTGATTTGCATAATTGTAAAGAACCTTCTTCTATTGGCTTTAATAAGATTTTGCATGCATGTGACATGAGTTTGTTATGATATCAAACTATGCAACAACTCTTACTACCCTCTTTCCACCTAAAAAATGAGGTTTATCTGAATTCAGGAAGATTCTTGCATGTTACAAATTTGACAACCCTTAAAACTTAATGATTCCATTTATTCTAGGCCTTACAGAAGTGCGTAGTTATTTTCTTCAATTATTATCTTCCATCAAGTCTGATGAAAGTATGTTTCTTTGTGTATTAAATATTTTTAAGTTAAGCTTTCTAGTTTTGCAAATATTGCAGTGTGGATGTGGTTTTCTCTGCTGAAACATGTGCTGATACGTGGATTGAGACAGAGGTAATGCGCATGTTTTTATGGTTTTATTTTACTGTCATGTTGAAACTTTTTTATCCAAGTTTTCTAGAAATCCTGCTTTGTATATTGAGCTTCTACTGTCTTTCTTGCTTTCTGATTCAGGTATAGTGATTAATCTGTAAGAATATAAAGTCTTGTATTGCAAAATAACACAAGTCTTTGCATATGAGGGTCATGATTAACTTGTCCATTTCACTGAAAATAGCTTAAGCTACTTGGTTAGGATTGCCACAAGCTCATATATCCTTTAAATTTTCATGTGTGGGTCTTTTATCAAGGCTTATCTCCAAAAATCATATTTGGTTTAAGAAGGGAATGAGCAGTTATCCCTGTATATCAATTCTACTGCTCTGTGGCATTTCTACTGTCATTTCATCACCTCAGTTATCATGATTTAATATTATTTGCACTGAAGTGATTTATCTTTTCAAATTAAAGGGGCAGGCACTAACGGCCTAAGGTTACAAGCGGGATTGAACCTGTAACTTCCCACTTACAGGGGAGTTCCCATGCACCTACGCTACAAGGCCATTGGCAGTGATAGATCTTTTCAAATACCGTATGTATGTGTTTATTCTTTGGTTTTTCTAGGTTGCAGCATTGAAAGAGGATGGATGTCCCAAAGTGTGGGTTGTTTCTTCTGATCACTGTCACCAGCAGGCTGCACATGGAGCAGTACGCATCCTTCCCTTAAGATTGGAAACTAAAATAAAATTGAAAATACTTATTTTGTCAACTGTCTTAGCGTTTCTCTTCTTTATGTGCACTATGCTGACCTTAAACTGAAAACCTTTCCATTTTTTGCAGAACTTCAAATAAGTTTTTGATTTTGAATATGATAATTGACTTTTTTTTTTCCTTTTTATTTCTGTACATGCTATCACCCAAAAATTTAAGCAACTCTAGCCTCATGCTCTGTTTATTAGTCCAAAAGACTTACATTGTCACAAATTTCACAGGGAGCCTATGTTTGGAGTTGCAAAGCATTGGTTACTGAGGTAAAACACCAAATGGACGAAGAGTATTATCTAATTGATAATGAAGCCCAGTTCTATATGTAATGCCTAGTTTCCTTAACAAGAAAAATAAAAGCTACGGAAAAATAATAATTAAAAGTTTGTAACTTGTGCTTTTGTTTCCTTGGAAATGGATTCCCTGCAGTGCCTTGTATTTTGCAGTGCTCAAGTGCGGTTATAAAACTAACACTTTTATGATATTTTTTTTATATTTTCTTACTTATATAATAGATTTATCTTTTTCCTATTAGGTTGCACTTGAGAACTACACAAAAAAGGCATGATAAGGAATCCAAATCCAAATTTCCGTTCATATAAAACCTAATAAGAAATTTTAGTTTCCTGTGTTTCCAGCAAAATAATTCATAAAATTCCTCTGGCCATTTGTGATAGAGGTGTCTGGATTCAAGTCTGAGATAAGCTTGGCCACTCTTTAGAAGTTTTAATTCATTTTGCGTTATTAAATGAGAGGAATCTTGGATGCTCTTGTTTGTTTGATATTTTTATTTGTAGATCAAGGCATCACAAAAGGAGGTCGAGATAATGCTCAAAGAACAAAGGTGTGTGTAACCTGTTTTTGATAAATTTAAGAACTATATTGTCATCTATTTGAAAATTTTGGTTTTATTTTATGTCATTTTAGACTTTCAAAAGTATGGTTTTAACTTGCATTTGCTTGGGCTGTCCAACTTCAGATTGGTATTCTCTAATGCTTTTTGTAAATTCGTATTGGATTTTGTGCTTTTCGTTGCCCACAAACCCTTAGGGTATGTTTGGGAGGTTGGTTGGGGAAAGAGTATAAAGAAATAGGGAATTGAACAAAAGCAAGGATAGTGATGATTAAATAGTAGTTTTCCCTTTCCTTGTTTTGGAGAGCTTCCCCTGAAAAATATCCTCCAATTTTATTATCCTTCCCTCCTTATTATCAAGGAAAAAAATGTAAAGAGCTCTTTATCTAGTTGTCTGATGTCTGTCAGGTTTGACAACTGTGCATCTTAACAACTTGTTTATTGGGAAAAAAAAGTTATGTCAGAATATGTATTTTCCCCTTATTATTTTTTTATTTCTTCCTAATTTCTTTCAGAATATCATCAATGTTCTTCCCCAAACTTCACTTGGCAAGGATATTATCCCATGTTTATAGGATATTCCCATAGATATTCTCATGGATGGGTGTCCAGTAGGGGAAAAATGGATGATATTATCAAAAGTATATTTATCACGTGATAATATTGTGCTGATTGATTTATGTGTTTTTTTCTTTTCTTTCCAGGTCCACTTCTTTCCAAGGTAGATTGTTGAAACACAATCTAGATGCAGAAGTGGTGGATGCATTGAAGGACCTAAGGCAAAAGCTATCTCAAAATCAGATGAAATAGCTGTTCAGGTTATTTTAGTCTCTATCTTCTCTGGTGAATATTTTAACCCTATCTGTTTTAGGGATAGCTTAGTTGGGGGTGAGTGCGGATGAGAGGTTAAACTTCATATTCAACTCGTGTAAAGTTAAGCTTCCCACTTCCCTCACAATTAAAAGAACATTTGTCTCTAGTATTAAAAAAAAAAAATACTATATTTATTTAAAAAATAGTTTAGACTTTTTGGAAATTTAAAAATTGAAATGTGCAATTAATTATGAACTCCCTGAGAAGTTAACTTTTTCAGGTTGTAAATTGAATCAAGCAACACCTTTGTATTTAAAACCAGCGGGGGTGTCCGTTGCACCAAGCTTGCAAGAGAAGCAGCACTATTCATGGCTCATGAATGCTGTGACTTGTTAAATTTTTTTTTTTATTATATATAGATTTCAAGTAATGGATGGTTTTTATGTATAGGCTTATTGGCGTGGTAAGCTGGAATCTCACATTTTGCTGGGATCATGGCCTTGAGATAATGATGGGAAAGCAACTTTAAGGGAAGAGTAAAGTAGTTTGGCCCTTTCATTGCTAGGCTTATTTAGCTTTAGTTTCTACAAAATTACTGAATGCACAAGTTGGTTTTTTAGAGATAGCTCTCATAATACATTAATTCCTTGGACATCTTTGGGGAGAAATTATTATCATACTTTTGTGTGTTACTTTATTTATACTCTCTTACCCAAGGGAAAAAAAATTGTCCTAACACTCTCTTGCATGAAATTGATATTCTATTATCCACTCAAATTTTTTTGTATAGATGCAGTATTTTGTCCAGTTTAAACTTTTTTCATTGGAGAAAATAAAAATGGTGCGGCAGTTCAAGAATATTTAAGAGTTGTAATTTGTCTAGGGAGAATAACAAGTAAGTACTTTTTAAGAACATTAATACCAAATTAGGCATTTTGGCACTGAAACATGAAAGAAAGAGCATTGAATTTGGGAATATTAATGTTAAAAAATCCTAATTTAATATTAATATTCTTTTGAGGTCCTTACTTATCATTTTCCCATTTGTCTATGCGACGAATTGTGATTTTTATGGACTGACTTTTTCATTCATTAATTTTTAGGAAATGAAATATAGATGGAACTAGCCATTCATAGATCAAATTGTTAATTTATTTGCTCAACAATATCCTCTTGTAAGTTACTCCCTTCGGTCACATTTATAAATTACATTTTAAAATATCTATCTGGTTTCATTTATAAGTCACGGTGTGACTTTTTAAATAATATTTAAAAGTATTTTTAAAATTATTTTTTATAAAAAAAAAAGTAATATGACATTACTTTTTTGATTTTTTATATGAGAGCATATTTAGAATTTTACACTTTTATTCCTTGTATTTTTTTTTTTTGGCATTGGTATTGATATGGTTGATAGAAATAATTTATAAATGAGACTGGAGGAGTATAATGAAAGCTAGAGAAATTGTTTTATAATTTTCTTTTATTTTATTCACTTTTGTTTTTTAGTTATATACCGTTTATCTAATTGACTTTCTTTTTATAAAAAAAATGAAAATATGTAAAAGGGAAGCATTAAAAATTGCAAATGAAACATACACTGCCCTCTTTTCATGAAAATATAGTATTGTATACTCTCTCTAATCTTACATCATAGGTTGGTGACTTTTGTAGTTGATTTAATGGCAAGCCGTTGCCTTTTTTTGAAAAAGGTTTTAGGTTAAACCTGTGTGTATGCCTGAGTGTGTACGTCTCTCTCTTTCTTGTGGGGATATAATAGGTTAAAGGTAATTTTTTTAAAAAAAGAAAAAATGTAGGTGACTTAACTTTTTCACCAAAAATTTTGGCCGAAAATGAAACCTATCTCACTAGAATTAATAAAAGGTAATTAAATAATTGATAGTCTTAAAAAAAAAGAGAGATTTCTTAATTTGTTTTTTAAATATATTATCTTTAAAAGTATTTTCTGTCATATAATTAATAAATTATTTTTTTATATAAAAGTAACTTATAAAAAGGATTTAGAAGGTAACTTATATTACTAATTAAAATTGACGTGAATGATATGAATTCTTATCAATTAAATAAGTGGTTAAGGGTTTAAATTTTAACTGTTGTATATATAATAATTTAATTGGAAGAGTTTTAGTACTTTTGAAAAAAATAATTTCTAATTCCTTTTGGTGGTGGAGTCTACATAGCGTAGTAGCGCGCACAAAAAAAAAAAAAGAATTATATTATATAGGACCAAATGGAGTATTAAATAATAATGAACTTACTTGTGAATGTGCATGGACAATGGATCATAACAAAATAACAGACATGTCACTTGTATTCCCCAAAACATTGAAAACAAATAATAATTTTTTTAAATTAAAATTACTGCAAATATAAGAGTTAGATATGAGTTTATTTTCCTCTACTTTTGAAGCTTCCTTTGGAGCAAGGACGTGGAGATCCAGGCAGAGAGTTGTGATTCTTTGTTAAAAATAAAAAATAAAAACAAAAAAAGTTATTAATAACAAAATATTGGGCCTAAAGCATTTGGGCTTATCTCTTATCCATCCTCCCTCACATTGGGCCTAAACTACAATATTAAAATGCACTCCCTCCGATCCGCTAGATTAGTCACATTATAGAAGAAAATATGGTCTACAATATTAGTCATTCAATAATGATGACTATACATTTCAAAATGAAATTCTCAAAACACCCTTGCTATAAAATTGACAGTACTTTTTTACTGTAGAGGGAGTAATTTTTTTATAAAGTATGAGAGAAAAATATAAAAAATAATACTATATTGATTGGATCGCTTTTTGCTTTTTCATATGAGGTTTGTTTTGAAAATTTTATTTATAATTATTCTTTATATTTTTATTATATTGATATTGATGGAGTTGATAAAAATGACTTATAAAAAAAAATGCCGGAAGTAATGTTCAAAAAGAAGGAAAAATCTCTAGTCTTTTTCTCTTGTTTTAAGTTTCTACAAGAAAGAAAAATCAATAATAATTCAAGGAAACTTGCCACGCTCTTTTGCCGTTAATTTTATGCAGAAAGATAGTTAAGTGTTAAAAGATTGATTCAATGATAATTGAATTTTTTAAAAAATAAGTTATTAATAACAATTCAATAGTTACAAATTCAAAAGTCATAATTATATATAAGGCATTTAAGCTTTGAATACAAATCTTAGTTTGCAACTTCTGAATTGAATTTTGCAAGTTATTTTTTTAAAAAAAATTCAAAAACCCAACTATCATTGAACTGATATTTTGAGACTTAAATGACATGGCCACTTAATTTTTCTAAGTAAAACGTTGCAATTTTTTCACGTATAATAAGTATATTTTCTATTTAAAGAAACATACATTTATGCAATTTTATTTGACATTTTTTAGCACTTCCCTTCCAGTTGCGGAAAAATTATTTTCCTTCTACAATTAAGCTCAGCAGTTAACTATGAAAAAAAAATAATAAAAAAGATAAAATATATTAGCATGTTAAAAAGTCAAATTACTAATAACAATGAATAACTCATGTAAACATTAATCTTTAATCAGGTATCAAAAGAGTGATATGAAATAATATGATTAGTATGAGGTACACATCTCATAATTAACTATATGACACACTTTTTCCATATTTTTCTTTCTATCTCTCTTTAAAAATATTTTTTATATTTGTTCTTTTAGATACAAAGTTTTGATATTAAAGATTCAACTTTTCTTGTGAAAATATTGCCTCTTGCTCCCTCCCTTCCAATTTATAAGTTTTTTTTAAATTAAAATACATCAATGAAGATTATTAAAATAGTTTCTAATCTTAATTGTTTCATAAACTCTAAAAAATATACTTCGTTAATAAGAGAGAGATGGAAGAAAATGTAAGGAGTAAAATAATGAGGGGTAATGAATTAATTAAACCTTTTTTCAAAAATTTTTATATTTCGAAATACCAAATTACCTCCAAAACTTGTCTTATATAATGGGAAGGGGGGAATCTATTTTTTTTATTCATTAATTTATTCTATTAATTCTTTATCTAATCTCTCCATTTAAAAATATGAAGTATTTTTTTAAAATTAGATGTAAAAAAAATATAATTAATTTTTAATTTTTTTAATATAAGCAATGGCTTTTTTTAAAATACTCTTAATGAATAAATTACTCATGTATAGAAAAAATAAATTACTCAATCTTTTATATTTAAATAAAAAATTTATTAAATAAAAATAAACATAAAAGGTTGTATTAATTTAAAGATAATTACTTAATTTATTAGTGAAGTAATTGTATAAAAAATGTTTTAATTAAAAGAGTACTTTTGTTTCGATTTGGAATTTAAAAATATTTGAAAGGAGATCAAAATTCAATACAGTGATGCATGGCCCCGTGATCTGATCTGAGCAAGGCACCAAATTTGCAGAAGATTTGGAAGAAATAATAAAGAAGAGACAAAGTCCGAAGAAGTCAGAAACAGAGCAGGAAGTTGTGTAACTGTATAGAGATTACTCTATCATGCAACGAACGCAATAAATGTGAAGAAGGAGGGCCAATGGGACATCGACACGCTCATAATTTGTGTCTCTAGACTCACACATATTCGTATGGTACTTCCATCTCAATTTCACCACCATTCTCTTCTATACTGCTCCCTCCGGTTTAGTAAACTCTAAGATGCTTCCACCACCTTATGACACATTTTTAATATTTTTTTAATAAAGTTAAATGACAAATGGCTTTTAAATTATATAGATCTATGAATGCTTGAAATTATAAAATTATTTTTAATATTTTTTTATTTTAAATTATAAAATATTTTTAGATAAAATTTTACATATCAATATACCTCATTAAATACATTTAATAATCTTATATTTTTAAAATAAAAATAAAAATTTTTAAAAATATTTATAATTTAATATATTAAAAAGAGAAGAGAAGAAAATTAATTATGTAGAGAGAAAGGGTAATATTAAAATTGATACATTTAATGAAATGTTAATCTATCCAAAGTGTTTTATATTTTATAATGAAAAAACTCTTTTAAAAGTACCCTATAATTTAGGATGAAGGGAGTATAATATTTCCTTTCAATGTTTCAAAATGGTGCAACATGATTTTATTATTAATAAATGTTAACTTTAATTGTTAGTTAATACAAAATTATGTAAAAGAATTTTAAAAAATTTTGGTCATTTTTTGCAATTGTGGGGGTCATTTTCATAATTTTTTTACTTCTTTTTTTGATAATTTTCAATATTATTTTCAGGTCAACCAACAATTAAAGTTGACTTTTGTTGATGATAGAGGTAACATTATACTATTTTTAAAAGTTAAAAGAGAACATTGTATAAAAAAAATTAAGTTTGAGACACGCCTGAACTTATAATTTATGAGTCAATTTTTCATTTAACCCTTCTTAATAAAAGGTGAAGGTATATTAATTAATATTTTTTTTAATCTCACCCTTGTTTATTTAATACTCCCTCCGTTAAAAAATATAAAGTATTTTTAACTGAATTTTACACCTACTAAAATAGTTGCCTACTTTTCAACTAACCTTATCTTTTCATATTTATTTTTATTAAATATCCTACAATAAATATAAAATTATTATCAATAGAGACACTTTTTAAAAAAAAGATGATAATTACATCTTAAAAAACTAAAATATCTTATATTTTTGAACATTTAACTTTTTAAAAAATATTTTATATTTTTAAACGGAGAGAGTACCAAGTAATGTGTGTGGATAATTTAAAAACCTAT